TTGTCAATTACACTGTTGTCTCTGAGTCTTAATGCAATATCTGTTCCCCAGCCTTTTTCACCATGTGGGAAAAGAATAGGATATGTCATTGCATCTAATGTAGGAAACAGGATATTGATTTGTTTGATTTTGGTGGCACTTGGATTATTGGGATCTGGTTTACAATGAATGAGCAAGTCCCTTTCAAAAGGAGGTTCTCCATCTTCATTTCTGAATATGACTGCAACCTCAGTTACGTGGGGAGAATTATATCTACCCGGATCACTGTTACGATCGTATTTAATCACCATTGTTACTTCTGTGGGAGCAATACCATTTGCTGCTGCTTCAGATTGGGCTTCCTTTTCTACCTCATGTAGCATCTTGTACGATTTTGTTAATTCATTTATTTCATGCATGAGGTTGTTGATGTTGATCATGAGTCTTTCTAAGCAGCCCTGGTTTTCTGGCATTGCTAATCTTTTACTTATAGCTTTGGCTCTATGCAAAATATAGAGTTGAGCAAACTTCTGAGAAACACCATCCAAAGGATGTTAAGTTCCAGTACGGTGATAAACTTGTCCGTGTATTCTAAAACAGTATGGCCCATATCCTGATGGAGATGCAATATTTGCACCCATGGAAGCAAAAGCAAAATAACTATTTATGGAATGTATATTTTCCATGAAATTTTTACTGTCAGGATCTTCGTTTGTCATTAATCTTTTTAAATATGCCGGGTAATCTGGAAAATGTTTATCATTTGGACAGACTTTCCCTTTGCTACAACATCGAGTAAATTTCCCATCAGATGGTTTTTCATCAGAGAAATTTAGTGATAGGCAAAATTCACATCGAACAGTCATTCCACCACAACTATGTTCGAGAATTGCATCCTCATGTACTCCATTTTTGCTGACAAGGCAGTTCCTACCAGTATTGGTAGTTCTTGTGATGACTGTTCTCTAGACATATTCTGTCATTGCCACCGCCTTCTTTCAACTTCAAAGGCTCGTTGGTCTTTAGACATTTTCTGTCTATAATGCCGGTGTTTTTTCGGCATCAGAATGACGTTTTTCCAGTAGCTGGTGTTCAGATACATCCTGTCGCAGGTGCTGCCTTCTTTCAAGATCAGACACACGCTGCTCTGCAGACATTTTCTGGTGATATCGCCGGCATCTTTCGGCTGCAGAGCTATGTTGTATCAACAGTTGTTCTTTAGACATAGTCCCACCTCTCTACTGTCATGGTCTGAGATGCAGGTGAATGAGAGTCCTGGCTGTCAGGCCACTGAGAGCTGTCTGACCAAAGGCTAATTCTGGCTGATTCTGTGGGGGTGGGACTTTCTCCTCCCTGCTGTCAGTTTCCACAGCTGTGATGAGGAAGCTGGGGTGACAGAGGGAGCCGCGCCCCCCAAGCTGCCCTCTCTCTCACTCTGCTCTATGTCCAGCAGTCTCCTGCTCTACCAAGTCCTTCAAACCTCCCGCTTTCTGCCGGTAAGGTCCCAGGAGCCCGTGGGCATGGCTAGGCATGGGCGGCCTCACCTCAGGGGCCTGCGAAGGTCCTGGGAGCCCGCGGCCCTGACTGCCATCGCCTCCTGGGGTGCCTGACACCTGTGTATGCAAATTAACTGCCATCTTTGTCAGGTTAATTTGCATAGTTACTCTGATTGGCTGGTGGGCATGGTTGGTGGGCGTGGCTTGAGTGGAGCGGAGGGACAGCTAATTTCCATGTTTCTCTTTTTTTTATTGATTGTTTACAGAGAAGAAGGGAAAGGGATAGAGAGTCAGAAACATCAATGAGAGAGAAACATCGATCAGCTGTCTCCTGCACACCCCCTACTGATTATGTGCCTGCAACCAAGGTACATGCCCTTGACCAGAATTGAACCTGGGACCCTTCAGTACGCAAGCCGATGCTCAAACCAGTTAAGGCTCATGTTTCTCTTTTATAATGTAGGATATAGATGTAACTTATTTCATTTCTTTTTTTTTTTTTTTTTTTTTTTTTTTTTGGTTTTACCAATGTGTTGTTGCTTTTTTAATTTCTTTTTTGGTTAAGGTATTACAAATGTGTCCTCATCCCCCTATTAACCCCTAACCTTCCCCCCCACCACCACCACCACTCATGTTCTCATCCCCCTGTTGTCCATGTCCATTGGTTTGGCTTATATGCATGCATACAAGTCCTGATTACTTGGTGGTTTTGCAACACTTTTTTTCAATATTCAACTTTGTGCTTCTCAAATTAGTGTACTTTTGCCCTCAAGACAAAACATGAAATAATTCTGATGAATTATCTGAGAGCACTATTATTTTTTTTTTTTTCAGAGAGGAAGGGAAAGGGAGAGAGAATCATCAATGAAGAGAGAGAGAATCATTGATCGGCTGCCTCCTGCATGTCCCCTCCTGGGGAATCAAGCCCACAACCCAGGCATGTGCCCTTGGTCAAAATTGAATCCGGGACCTTTTAATCTGCAGGGCAACACTCTAGCCACTGAGCAAAACTGGCTATAGCTGAGAGCACTATTATTATTGGAAAATTCGAAAATGAGCCACTGGTGAATTATTTAAAAGACTATGTTGCATCAAAATCAATATGGATATGTTGTGCAGTAAAATAAAAATGATCCCTCAGTCTTTTTTAGTAAACTTGAGACTGTTCATACTTAGAGCAGACTGCTGTGAACACTGTGCCCTCATCAGGCAGGTTTCGTGTTCATTCTCCCTGCTCTGTAGGGAATGCTTCAGGAGAGAGTCCGAGAACTCTGACCCAAGCAATTGATACAAAAACAACTGAGGAATAATCCTGTTCTTCCCCATTAATTTAGAACTCCTCTTTTGTTTTATTCAAATTCTTTCTTATTTTTGTCCGTTCCTTGCATCTTTACTTTTTTGACTACTATGATTGACTGTCGCCATTTTAAAAACTATCTATTTAGCCTGGCTGGTGTAGGTCAGTGGTTGAGCATCGACCGGCTCAATCCTGGTCAGGCTACATGCCAGGGTTGCAGGCCTGATGCCTAGTAGGAGGCAGCTGATTGATGTTTCTCTCTATTGATGTTTCCATCTCTGTATCCCTCTCCCTTCCTCTCTTTCTAAAAAATTATTAATAAAAAATTTTATTAATAATAAAATTGACACAAGATTAGATTAACAGGAGGCGGGGAACTTAATACTCATAGATGGGAGAATCACAATGTAATGCTTAGATCATAAAATGAGGCCCAAAGAAGTGATCGAACTGGGTACCGTTTTATACTTTTTAGACAAAGAAACAATAAATTTGTTGAGAAATTGACAGGACAAAGATAGTTAGTACTCATTAGGATTTAAGCAGATTTGGATATTTATTAGTGAGGAATCTAAAAGTTTGGGCTTGGGAGTAAATTAGTAAAGATATTCATTACAAGTTTTGTTTATATTCACTTTCAACTCTGGCTTTTATAACCCTTGTGAGCAGTTTCTCTCAGCCCTCGGGAGTGGGGAGGACACCTGTCATGGAGATTTATTTCTTGCTTTTAAAGGAACAGAAAAGAGTCAGAGAGCTCCTCCAGGTCCTGTTGTTTCTCAAGTGATTTTAAATTCCAAATAATCAACATGCCTTTGTGGGATATCTTGAGGCAGCCTGCTCTGAGCCCTGATACATCTGAGTTCAGAAAAATATTGCCTTTCACCATAAATATAAGGGATTAAGGGGAAGCAGAACATGCACTAATGCTCTATAATTATTTGGTTTTCCATAATATTACTCCCCTACCAGACTTTAAGATGAGCTAGATGGAAATACTCTTCCATCCCATGGTCTTTTCCTTTTGTCTCATTGACTCATATGAAGGACAAGAAGAGAACACATATCATCAAATAGAAAATACCATCAAATATTGCTTTCCCTACTCCCAAAATTAGAGACAATCCCCCCCCAAAAAAAAATAATAATAATGATAGCCCAGCCAGTGTTGTTCAGTGGTTTGAGCATCGTCCCATGCACCAAGAGGTCGCGGTTCCATTCCTGGTCAGGGCACATGCCCGGACTGTGGGCTCGATCCCCAGTGGGAACCATGCATGAGGCCGCGGATCGATGTTTCTCTCTCATTGATGTTTCGATCTCTCTCTCCTTCTCCATTCCTCTCTCTCTAAAAGCAATTTTAAAACATTAATAATAATAATAATAATCCCTCACCATCCTGATAAAGCCTTAGGAGCACTAGTAAAATTCCCAGAAACTTAGCCATTATGCCTGTCTCCCTTCCCCCACCCAAAGGACTCAACTTTGAAATGTGATAGTGACCTAGAATCTCTGTGTCTGATACAGATATCCCCCAAAATAATCTATCACACCAAACACAAACAAAACTTCTCCCCACCCTCCTCTCAACTGTCATCCCCCTTCTCCTTGCCATGCCTTCCACAGCAGGGGAATGGGACAAAAGAAAATAGAAAGAGGGGCAACAGAGAGATGTAAACTCAGAAGAGACTTGGAAACCATCTCATGGATGCTAAGAGGCCAAAGAAATGTTGAAATTTTGTGCGACAATAAATAATAATCTGACTCTTAGGCTAAATTTTTTAAAAGCTGAGAAGCAAGTTGTCCGCATTGACTGTGTACAGAGTGCTTGTAAAGGTGTGTTGTGTGTATGTGCATAGTGTGTGTGTGTCTGTACACATGAACTGAGGAGCACCAGTGAGCTAAGCAACAATAGTGTAACTACCACAGATTGCCTTGTTTTGTATAATTGAACAGCTTGGGGATGAGCTGATGGGATGGTGGGATGTTGGGATGAAGACACTGCATTGTATTCCATTTGTACTTTCTGAATTTCAGACCATGTAAATGGAATACCTATTTAAAAAATAAATAAGATTTTAAAAATTAATAGTAAAATAATACATGGATTTGCTAATACCTTTGGAAAATAATGAAATAAAGTAAACATTTTAGCAAGCACTACTCTTGGGCTTCCTTCTGCGCTACACTCCCACCCCACAGGGGAATACTGCACAGGTGCAGCCCTGCCTGCCTCACTGTGCATCACTCACAATGCAGTAGTACACAGCAGTGTCTTTCAGGGAAGCCCAGGGCAGCCTCAGCACACTAGACTTCCTGTCGGCAGCGATAAACAGAGATGCCACTTCATTTGCCGTGTCTGTCTTATATCCTTGAATAACAAATTGTGGCCCCTGGTTGTAGAACTGTTGGTACCAGAAGATATACTCATTTGTAGCAATGTTGGTGTGGTTACAGGGTATGTTCACTTCCTGTCCTTCATCTGAAAGCATGAAGATGGGCTGGGTGGTCTTAGCAAGGCTCAAAGTACCTGTGGGAGTAAAAACACAATACTAGTTCCTACTCTGAAACCAAGTTGAAGGCCCAACTAAGCACCCTCCAGTTTCTCTCTCACAGTCAAACCCACCCCCACCTCTACTTCACTACTATTTACTTCTCACTGTGTTCCAGGACAGTTTTTATTTATTTTTTTATTCTGAAGGAATCCTGGGAAAACTGTTCAGAGGCAGAAGGTCTAATTTCTCTGCCTCATGGGTGGACCTGGGGTTTAGTAACAGAACACCTTATTGCCCTAAGACACGCCTCAAATAGATGCTAAGGAGCTGCCTGGAGAAAAATAGGACCCCAAAGCCATCCCTCAACATCCTGGATAAAGAGCAATGGTAGCAGGCAACATGGTAGATTCCTGTCCAAACCCAGATCCCAATGCTTCTTAATCCCAAAATAACTCACCCAAGGTCAAGAGCACGGTCACTCTTGTCACCTGCCTCATATTCTAAGTGTAAACCAGGACCCAGGGTCTGTGTTGTCGAGTTTGAGCCAGGGAACAGGTACAGCAGCAGCAGCCAGATGAGCTACCCGCATGAGCTGCTCTCACCCAGAGCTGTCCCCAGAAACAAGCCAATAGCAGGGCGACAGCTCCTCAGAAGGGGCTTCCCCTCAAGATTCAACTGAGCACTCAGGAAGAAGAGGGGGTAAAAACTTATAGTACAACAGCATAGCAGACTGGGTTTCCTTTTAGATCTTTACTAAGATCTAACCACTTACAGATTTGGTCTGAATGAAGCAACTACATCAGAAGGTAGATTCCATCAGACTCCTTATTCCCCATCAGCTTTCCACAGTCCCAGAGGGTGACCATCAATTATAGTCAGTTTGACAGCTCTGAGAATAACCTTCTGACCTGGGACTTTATGCCCAGAAATCTCCCATGGATCCCAATGCAATCAGATGAAACAGGGAATCTTAATCTTATTCAGAATCTTTTTTAAAAATCTTAATCTTAGTCAACAAAAGAACAAATGCAGTTTGAACTGGACCTTTCGTCTCCGACACTCCGGTGTCTTCTTACAATCTAAGTCCACAACATCTCAGATCTCACTTAACAAATGTTAAACAAGGAAGCAGACTTTTTACTAGTCCCTTTCTGACCAGCTAGGGTAGGACATATGATGTGGAATTATTCACCAGACAGACCGACCTAAATCCAAGTCCCAGCTCTGCCACCTTGTGACCTTGGGCAACTCACACCTCCAAACCTCAGTGTCTCCATTTGTAAAATAGGGGCAATAATACCCACTTCAGAGTGGCCTATGGCATAGAGTCAACTGTAAATTATAGTTCCTGCTCATCTCCTTCCTTCTCATCTAAGTGACATGCAAAGTACCACGGCCAATAAGAAGCACTGTATAGCATATGTATGCATGTATGTATGTATGTATGTATGATATTTTATATATAATTCATATATATAATTTATAACTTAATATATAATTTATATATAATTGTATACAATATATAGTATATTACATAAAATTCACTCTTTTAAGAAAGATACAATATAAACTTAACAATGGTAACACAAAAATTAAAAAATAGTTATTCAAGAAGAGTCTTAATGTTAATTGAAACAGCTAATTGCAGTAATCAAAACATATTAGATACATTAATATGGAAAAGACAGTAGTATGTGGAGTTCTTTGCTAATATAATATGGGAAAGAAAACTCTCTGGGAAATGTTTGGGAGGTATCTCAATGTATTCTGAGTGAGAATGTTTTCCATGTTTCCATGCGAAAGATTGGCGAGGGCTGATAACTTCTAGCAACAGTTTAAGAGTAGATACCACAAGGCATGGGATAAATAACCAGCTCACCCTCAGTATAGAAGGGAAGAGGGAAAGAAGTATTAATGAGGGAGCTAAAGAAGCTAGGACACCTCGTACAGAAATAAAACATAAAAGGTTTATCCTCTAGAATCTATTCATTGCAACAGTGATCCCGTGCAGCAAATATACTTAGATAGGAGGAATGTTTCACACAAGTCAGTAAATCTCAGACCCGTGCAGCTCATGGAACATCATATTCCTTTGTTAAATGCAGTGGCCAGTAGCTTGGCTTGATCATGTGGACCATAGAATGCATTTTTGCAATGGAAGAAACATTTAATGAGGAGTTAGACTAATTGGATTGTAAGCAATCCTCTGGACTTGCTAGGTGAGCAATTTTGTGCAAATCACATATCCTCTGAGAAGCAGTTTCTTTATAAGAACTATTATAGGACCTGTCCGTGTGGCTCAGTGATTGAGTATCAACCTATGAACCAGAAGGTCACAGTTCAATTTCAGGTCAGGGCACATCCTGAGTTATGGGCTCACTCCCCAATGTGGGACATACAGGAGGCAGGAGATTTATGATTCTTTCTCATCATTGATGTGTTTATCTCTCTCTCCCTCTTTCTTCCTCTCTGAAATCAATAAAAAATATTTTTAAAATAAAGATTATAGAAATCAAGTAAATGAGCTTAAGAAAGTTCTTTCTAAACTATAGTGTTCTGCACAAATACAACCTCTGTTTAACATGTGTTCAACATAGCAAGCTGTATTAATCACAAGATCAAATGATCTTACCTTTTCAGGCCAACAAACAGAACTTAAGTTTTCTGTGTTGTCATCTATTATCTACTTAGGAAACTATTACTGAGTAGCAAGTAACTAGAGAAAGAAATGCTAGAGGTTTTTCTATGCCCCAAGCTTTGGAATGAAAGTAATCATTAATGGTTCTCGTGTGCAACTTAGGTTGAATTTTGGTCCTTCCCCCAACCAAAATAAATAAATAAATACATACGTTCGAGTCTTAATCCATGGTACCTCAGAATATGTCCTTACTTAGAAAAAGATCTATACAGAAGTAATCAAGTTAAAAGGAGGTTATTTGGGTAGACCATAATCCAATAAGACTGCTGTCCTTATAAAAAAGGGATATTTGAACACAGAAACAGACATGGATAAAAGAAACAATGTTTAGACCCATAGAGGGTAGTGGCCATCTGCAAGCCAAGGAGAGAGGCCTGGGACAAATGCTTCCCTCACAGCCCTCAGGAGGAATCCAGTGTGGCTGCTGCTCCCTTCAGCCCAGCCGGGAGGAAGAGAGAGATGCAGTGGGCATTCCTGCAGCAGCGCACAGTATGAGTGCAGCTGAGCCCAGAGACTTGGGAAGGAAGGACACAGCACAAGGGTGCAGCTGCAGTTGTCGGGTGGCATTACAGGCAGAGAAATGATGCCACGGAGACCTGCTATCCCTTAGCCTCCCAGAGTTCACCTCGCTTAACCCTTGGTATCTGGTTGCAGAGCACATTATCTGCAAACCCAAGAACTGGTACTACAGAATCGCTTTTTTCCCTGAGCAAAGGGTGCACTCTGAGATCAGTCCCAGGACTGAGGCACAGGTGGGACCCTGTGGAGCTCTGAGGTCACCATTACTGGGAGGGCAAAACAAAAGAAGCTGGCAGGTTGCCCCAGCCAGCCCCATTGCACCTACACGGACGGCAATGCCTGGCTGGGGGGGGAGAGGCGGGGAGGTAGATGGTACTGGAATTTCACAGAGCTAAAACACTTGTGGTTCAGCTCCATCTACTGGAAAATAAGAGAAAGACCTCTTTGTATTAATCTGCTAGAGAAGCGCCACTCATACCTTTTCTTTTTCAGGCCAATAATGGAACTTAATGTGTTTGTCTAGATGCCGAGATAGAGAAGGAATCCGTCAAGTACCAGGAATCACCAAGGTAGCAAGGCAGATCAGAAAGAAACAGAAAAATATCCAGAAAACAAATTTAAAGACATGGAATATGTGATATAAATGACAGAAAATTCAAGATTGCAGTTCTGAAAATATTCAACAAGATGCAAGAAATACAGACAGGCAATTTATTGTGCCCAGGAAACAAATCAACAAACAAACCCTGGACAATGTTGCCCAGTGGTTGGAGCATCGTGCCATGCACCAAAGGGTCAAGGGTTCAATTCCTGGTCAAGAATATATACCTGGGTTGCAGGCTAAACCCCAGCCTGGGTGGGGACACGTAGGGGAGGCAACCAATCCATGTGTATCTCTCACATTGAGGTTTCTCTCTCTCACTCTCTTTCTCCCTCCTCCCTCCTTTCCACTCTCTAAAAATAAATAAATGGGAAAATACCCTCAGGGTGAGAATTAACAAAAACAAACAAAACAACTAACAAAATGAGAACTTTACCCAAAAGATTGAAAGTTTAGAAACAGAACCAAACAGAAATTCTGGAGATGAAGAACTCAGTAAAAGAGATTAAGAATGAATTAGCGCCTGGCTGTTGGCTCACTAGTTGAGCATTGACCTATGAACTAGGAGGTCAATATTGGATCCCCAGTCAGGACATATGCTGGCTTTTTCCCAGTGATTAGAGGGTCAACCCGCGGACTGAAGGGTCTCAGGTTTGATTCCTGGTCAAGGGCACATACTTCGGTTGCAAGTTCACTCCCCGGCAGGCAATGAGTAGATGTGTCTTTCTCACATCGTCACATCGATGTCTCTCTCTCTCTCTCTCTCTCTCTCTCTCTCTCTCTCTCCCCCTCCCTCCTTCCCTCCTTCCCTCCTCCCTTCCATCTACCTCTCCCCCTCCTCCCTTCCTTCCACTCTCTCTCTCTTAAGATCAATGGAAAAAATATCCTCGGATGAGGGTTAAAAAAAAGAAGAAATATCCTCAGGTGAGGATTAATAAAAAATAAATAAATAAATAAATAAACCTGAAACTCATAGACACAGACAGAGTGTGGTGGTTACCAGAGAAGGGGCCGTGGGGAGATAGTATCTGGTAAAGAGGCCAAATATATGGTGATGGAAGATGATTTGACTTTGGGCGGTGGGCACACAATGTAATAGATCATATACCATAGAATGTACACTTGAAACCTTTATGATCCTATTAACCAATGTCACCCCAATAAATTTAATAAAAAAAGAAAATTTACATGTTATTTCACAAATAAAATTTAAAATAGTAAAACATACAAAAAACAGAGGTACTTAGATATACTATGAATATCGCTCTCATTTTTTTAAATTATAAACATATTCAGGCAAGAAATTATGACTATTTAATGCCAAGACTGGATGTCCCTTGTATTTTCAAATATGTGACAGTAAGTTACTATTGCTTTTATTGTAATAAGTAAATAAATAAGACATCCTGAGCTAGCGATGAGGAAATACCCATTGTGGGCTTTAAAAGGTCATGCCAGGATAATAAGAAGAACAGCCTTGTAGTAAATAGAATTGCCTTTAGCTAAAGTAATCTATATACCACTGACGCACATCTTGGGGTGTCTCATTCTGAACCTCCACAAGGCGCACACACACACACACACACACACACACACATATATTGCACATATTTGGGTACTCCTGAGGTTTTCAATATATGTTATTTCCCAAATATTTTTGCCTGTCAATAAATAAAATT